GGTCTCACTAAACTCTATTCTGTTATACGGTAGATTTTTTTAGATTTGTTACTTTGAAACAAAATCTTGATAATCATTCAAACGTTCCTTTTGTACATTTGGTTTCCAAGTCCATTATTTCAAAATATTAAAATGCTTGATTTAACAAGGGGTCTGTCTTTCTTTTGATAAATATTCTTAATGTGCAAACATAATAGAAAAAAGACAGCATGATAAACTAGGTTACTAGGCAGTGAATACTTCTGAAATGATTTGCCTTCAGTCGGAACCCAATTGCTAAAATAAATCATTTAGAAACTCTTTTAATACTTAAATTCTATATCCTGATGGAGATAGAAACTGTGTATCTTTCATTCTCTCCAGCAAATCAACATCTGTAAAAGATTAAATTGCTTGTTTATTTATAAATGTGTTTCTTTAACAAAGGACATACCGATATTTACAGTATTTCATTTATGTTATGGAGTCATCAGCAGTGTAGAATTTTTTTAGGGACAATCTTCTCTGGGGTTATAATTTCCTAGTAGTTATTTCTCACAAAATCCCTTCGAATTTCATGGCTATTTTGCATAAGAAGTCCCTAAGATATTTGGCACTCAGCCTGGAGTTTGAGCATGAATATTATCTTTTTCTTGATTCTTATTACCTCCTGATTTGAATAAGTATTTGACTGTTGCTACCGTGCCAAATAATCACTTTCATTGTTTTTTCAAGAATGTTATTAGATTGAATTTATTTATAGAAGTCTGTGAAAAATATTTGGTTATTGTTTTAATGACTCATTGTTAAGAAAAAAAAACCTTGTAGTGGCACCTTTACGATAGTTCCCCCTTCCCATTGATTCATGTTTTAAGTGTACCTCAGGTGCAGGACATGACCAAATGCTCTAATGGAAGTAACTCTGGTTGCCAGTCTGGAACTCTGCTAGGGGGCTTTCATCAATGATTAATGCAATGCAAAAGATGGGGAGTTGGACAATAGTCACAGAATTTTGGATATGAAGATTTTATCTAGTTCAGTGCCTTCCTGTTTACTGATGTGGAAACTGAAAGCCAGGGTAGTTAAGTTAATTTGCCCAGATTCATGTTCTTTATTCCTTGTGATATCAAGGACCTTATACTTTCTACCTAAGTGATCCCTTTAAGAGCCTTGCTTTGAGAACTGTTACATGCTTTTTGGTTAAAGTTGTTTGTCACTTACAGTGGCAGCTAGATAGGGAGTCATTTGGTAGAGCTTTTGATTTTTGTCAGAGCCACTCCAATCAGCAAAACCTTAATTCTTGCCCGTTATATTGTTGGAAAAATACAAAGTTAATTCTTTCAGTAGCTTGTTTTGCCTTTAGAACAGAACCTGCTTATTGCATCAGCTTTACTGATAATCAGCTGCTCTACTCCTGCTTTTGTAAATGTGCTTGCTTATCCCAAAGAGTACTGTACTGGCTACCTGAATGCTGAGAGCACAGAACTTAAAAGAACCTGGAAGAGTCTGCCTATGTAATCCCTGTAAGACCTAAAGTCAAGGCTTAGATTTTGAAGCACTAGCTCATCTAGGACTGCCAGTGTAATAAAATACCTGAGTCTCCAACCCTCTGAGTGCCGATCGCTCCTCTGTCAAAGTCTGCTCCTTAACAATATCTTTGCCTGTGCTTTAGTGCACAGGGAATGGAGGTAACCTGAGAGCCTGTTTTACTGTAATTTGTAAGTTCTAGCAAGAGTGACTTCAAAACCTGATAGCTGTGATTTTGGTTTAAGTAACTTAGGTATTGTTTCTTATAGAGTTTTAAAAAACTGATAATAGGTGAACTTTTAATTATTATGAGTCTCTTAGTTTTTTATGTATGTGTATGTGTGTGTGTATATATGTATGTATGTGTGTCTATATATACATATATATATAGAGAGAGAGAGAGAGAAAGAGAGACCTTGTCATTTAATTTAAAAATAACAAAAAATTATTCTTGAATGAGATGTGAAACTGATACTGCATCTACAATTTTTCTTTCAAGATAGGTTAATAGATTTACTTACAGCATTTTTCTGGGCATCTCGTCAGAATATTAAAACATATCTTCTCCCTTCTTCCCTTCACTGAGGGGCTGCCTTTTGCCAGAACTAATCTCGGTGTCTCTTTTATTTGAAGAAATCTCTTTGAGGTGGGTAAAATGACTATATCATCACCAGTCCTGGCAGGCCTACAGGCACACTTAAGCACTGTATCCATGGTAATTGAAGGGAAATTTTTTACTTTTAATTTTAATCTTTTAAAGTAGCCATTTAATTCTTTGATATTAAAATCAACCTGTCACTGACTTCAGCACACTCTGATATGTTATTATGTAGATTGTAATTTAAAGCCGATATTTAATGTTACATAGACAGGAGCTCTGGCAAATGAGTTTCATGTTTTGTTTGTGGAAATCTGGGCACCAAGTGAGCTGACACTGGTTTAAATGTTTTATAAACCCTTTTTGCATTTTGATTATTCCTGTATAAAACTTAAAGTCATTCTTATTATAGTTAATAATACATTTTTAGATCAGCCTATTTAAAAGGTATCTTCAAATGAAAGGATGTTTTCATTAATTGTATCTCTTCGAGCACATAATATATTATGCTTAAGGGAAACACTTTCTGAAGTTTTCTTTACCCCATACCTGGACCTATTCATTATATAATTCTGATCCATTAGGTAATTCTAGTATTACTTTCTTAAGAAAATGTTTTCTCTTTTGATATTATCAAAGGGTCTCTTTTCTAGGGTTTGATGCCCAAGATGTAACTTGAGGAGAGTTATTTTTACCATCTTAATGAATATTGTTATTTCATTTACAAATAAAATGTTTTCTAGTACTTAAAACTCTTCCCTGAATTTTCTATGTTTTTACATAAACTCCAATGTAGTTTTCAGTTATTTCCCACAGTAGTCTTACATTGGGACCATACTCCCTGTAGTATTTTAAGAGCATTGACTCAGTGGAGAGCCTAAATTCTCATTAGAGGTGCCTGTGCTTTCTTGTGGAGTTTTCATTGCCAAACAGGTGAGGTTAGCAATTTCACCTTATCTTTCTGTCAGCATTAGCAGCAGCAAGACTGCTACCTCCACAGCCACAGAGAGAGGGGAGAAATTCCTGACAGGAATAAGAAAAAGGGTAAATTAGGCTGGGGAGTGGAAGAACTAAGGCTGCTGTGGTGCTCTCCAGTGTGTGTGCTTTACACCATCATAATATATTTCTTTGTAAATCTATTACAAAACAATTATATGTGCTTTAGTTTCCAGTGTTCCATTCCCCCAATACTGGCTATACTTGTTACCAGTTTTTATTTCAGAAGGTTTCTCAAGCACCAGAAATAGATTAAAATAAAAACACCCAAGTTGAGGATGGACATACTTTTAAGAAAGGTCATTATACTCCTTTGGTACTTCAAGGCTGTCTTTCCTTCAGCACTTCTTGTTGTTCAGATATGGTGATTTTTATTAAAAAGTAAAACTGGAGCTACAGCTAGGATTAAGACTATAGAATACATGCTCACATTCCTAAGACAGTAATTATTTGTATTGAAGTAAAGATTTATTTTCTAAAAATACATTATATTAAGTATATACATGTGTTTAAAGTGTTAATTTTTAATCATTTGTAGTAATTTACTTGTAAACCCTCTGAGGAAGGTTTGTAATATTTTTTTCCATTTTATCCATGATCAAATTGTTATATACATAGTGATTTACACAGGATTATAAGCAAGCTAGTAATGTGATGATGATGATGATGAAAAAGTTGAAGCAATTTATTCTGTTAGCAGGTTATACTAAGATAATTTTAAATTATTAATTTGCATATGTTTGTAGAATAATCAGAACTATTAGCACTGCAACTACTAGAATGAAAAGTAAATAAAGTGGAAGTAGGCAAATGGATAGGTAAAAGCTGAATTTTAGAAACTGCAGTGATTATGAGGCAGCATGTGGCTAAGAATGTCTACATTTACCAGTACAGAGATATATCCTAGGTACTGGAGAAAAAAGAAACAGAAGATGTTATTTGTGGCCTGCTTTAGTTGTTTTCCACAAGTGAAATCGAGCATCACTACTAATGGAAGGCATAAGGAAATATTACACTTGACATTAGGATCTCTTGTTCTTTTGTCTGCTGCCAATTAAAGTTGAGATTGTACTAATTATTGGAAATTGACCAATGCTTTATCAAAAATCCTTATAAATGCTTTGCCTAGTTCTTATTTATGTTTTCCTTTTTTCTCTTCTTTTCTACCCTCTCACCTTCCCCATTCACTTACGTTCATAAAACGGATCTAAAGTTCTGAAGTTTTAAGGAAAAGTTTCCTTTAGTTGTGTTATATGATATTCAGAAATATACATCCTGTGGCAAATTGCAATCTGGATTGACTTTTCTTAGTGATGGTTTGGCCATTATCTCCTATTTTACTCCCCCTTTCCTCCTATATCTTCACCATCATCATAATCATCATGATCATTGTCATCATTACGTGAATCTTTGGGAAACTCCCTACACACTACAGTGGAATTCACTTTTAAAAAATATGTTCCTTGTCATTCTCCTCCTTTTTTCCCTTATTACTTTTTCTTATTTGAAAATCCCTCACAACTTCAGTGCTATCTGAATATTTTATGTTAGACTGGTTCCTTATAGTTTCTGTCCTTTTTTGCATATGTTATTCAATACTTGGTTTTCTGTGAATTTCCTTTGCATTTCTTATTTTTTTCATCTGTATGAATTATATGTGAACTTTGATATGAATTTCTATTTCTTTCTTATTTTTTCCCATATCGAGATATTTACTGAGGGGCCAGGGAAGTAAAACGCTATATGCATTTGGTTATTTGTTGTCCTTAATGTCAGGAAGTTTACATTTTATTTAGTTGGAAGACATGATGGATAAGCTGTGGATAAATACCTAAATACAGAAATGTGTATGTATTGGATAGTTTACTATTGCTTAAGGCTTGTTTCTTAATCCCTCCAGGAAAGAAAGGAGAGGCTATCCAAATTTGAGTCTATTCGTCATTCAATTGCTGGGATAATTAGGTCTCCAAAGTCTGCACTGGGCCCTTCAGCAGTAAGTAGGATTAACTTTATATGCTACCGAAAATGGTCATTGTCTAGCTTCTTTATGATATATATACCAATGAATATTATATATAAATTTGTACTTACAAATGGAAAAATAAGAGCAAAATTTAATTTTTTGTATGCATATGAATCTGTTCATATATGTATATAGTAAAACCCCATTTGACATTGATATATGGAAGGCAGAAATAAACTTGTATTATGGACTTCTGTGGTAATAAATAATTACAAGGAACGTGAGGGCTTTATAAGAAGAATAACATAAACAAATTTCTAGTGAAACATAACATTTTTATGATAGGGATTACCGTATATGAATCTTAAAAATGTGTCAGTTTATATATATGTTCATAGTTTTAAGAACATTTTGACTATGAAATTGAAGTTTGATAGATTAATTCTTGAAATTTGGGTTTGTCATGTCACAGTGGTGCATAGAATACTCGTATTATTTATCTCTAGTAACAGTAGCTTGGCTAAGCAAGATTTCACTATGAAGAAATACACTGAGCTATTTCTCTAAAGTGTTAGGTTTCCTATTATTTGGAGGAGTTTTTTTTCCCTCAAATACACAGATAAATGAGGCCTTGAATCTTAATGTGAATGTGAAGGTTCCAGGTATTTTAAGTACAATAATCTAAGATGCATAACGATTTAAAGATACTTAATCATAATTTTAAAATTTCTCCTGACATAATATAGTATTTTTTGGAGTGTGCTAATTCAGTAAAGGTGAAATAGAAGAAGAAAATATTTTAATTAATGATTTTTTTCCTTATAAAAAAGTTCTAAAAACTTGCCAAATTGGCATAGTTATTTAAATTATTTTATTGTGATGTACTTCATATAACATAAAATTCCTCATTTTAAAGTATACACTTAGTAGTTTTTAGTATCTTCACTATGTTGTGCAACCATCACTATTATCCGATTCCAGAACATTTCAATCTCCCCAAAAGTTACTCCATACCTATTAGGAGTTTGTCTCAATTCCCTCCTTGCCCCATTTCCTGACAACCACTAATCTACTTTAGGTCCTTATGGATTTGCCTATTCTGGACATTTTACACAAATAGAATCATGCAACATGTGGCCTTTTGTATTTAGTTTCACTTATAATCTTTTTGAGATTCATCCATATTTGTAGCATGTAACAATACTTCATTTCTCTTTATGGCCGAATAATATTCCATCCTATGGATTTGCCACATATTGTTTATCTATTCATCAGCTGATAGACATGTGGGTTGTTTCCACTTTTGGCTCTTGTGAATAATTCTCCTATGAACTGTCATGTACATGTGTTTACGTAAACCTGTTTTTAGTTCTCTTGGGTATATACCTAGCAGTGGAATTGCTGCGTCATATAGTAATTCTATGTTTAAGTTTTTGAGGAGCTGCCAAACTGTTTTCCACAGTGGTTGCACCGTTTTACATTCCCATCAGCAATGTATGAATGTTCCAATTTCTCCACACCCTTACCAAAACTTGTTGTTTTCCATTTTTTTAAATTACAGGCATCCTACTGGGTGTGAGGTCATATCTTACTGTAGTTTTTATTTGTGTTTTCCTAGTGACTATAATGTTGAACATTTTTCATGTGGTTTTTGGCTGCTGGTATATGTTTTTTGGAGATAGTTGTTCATATCCTTTGCACATTTTTAAGTTTGTTTTTTTTTTATCGTTGAGCTGTGTTTTTTTTATATATTCTGGAAACAAGCATTTACAAATATTTTTCTCATTTTATGGATTGTCTTTTCACTTTTCTTGTACTGTCCTATGACATGCAAAAGTTTTTAATTTTGGTGAAGAAAAATTTGTTTATTTTTCTTTGATTGTAATGCTTTTGGTGTCATATCTAAAAAAAACCATTGTACAATCCAAGCTCATGCGGCTATTCATCTTTGTTTCCTTCTGCGGGTTTTTAGTTTTAGCTCTTACATTTATGACTTTCTTCCATTATGAGTTAATTTTTGCATAAGGAATAAGCAGAGGTCCAAATTCATTTTTTTACATATGGAAGTATATTTAATTTAAAATCTTTGAAAGCAACAGGTATGAATCATTGTTTCTCTATTCTAATGAATATAAATAAAGCAAATTAATTATGCATAGGAAAATGAAATTAGAAATAATCATGCTAGTATTCTTATTGGACTTGCCATATCTATTTGTCTCAATGTTTTTAACAGTGTGGTTAAAATGTAGAGTTATCTTTAAAGACATTCTAACGGAGCATGTAGATCAGCAGTCTTGATGGAAGGAAGAATGTAAGATAATTAGCTCATAGATGAATTTGGCTTTAACTGAACATTGTGTCTGGTGTCAGATGTTTAATATTTATTGTTATGATCAGGGTATTATTTTAACATGTTATATCAGCTCCAAGCATGTGAACTTTTTTCCCATGTACTAATGGAGTTAAATAAGCTATTATTAGTATCTCAGGGCACAGAGACCTGCACCACATACAGCATTTTCCCATTTTCAGGAGATTGTAATTTTGCATTGCAAACTATTTCTCAGAGACTGCTTCTGAAGCCAAGGATGGAGGTATTAGACAGGATAAATTGCATATTTTTAAAGCATACTGGCAATCATGAGGGTCCATTTTAGTTGAAAGTCTTTCAAACCGTCTTACATTTAATGAGATCTGTTCAAGTCATATCAAGAATACTGCCCTTTTCCCATGGCTATCTTTTTACTGCAGAATTTCTGTAATGAGTGGTTGGGCAAAACACTTGTTCCATCTTACAGCCACTTGTGAGTACTAGTTGTATCACTGGTATGTGGAGTGTATAGTGCCCCTCTAATAGTAGTAGCACTCTTTGAAAAATGTTCCTTAAAACCAGAATGAAGCACATTTTGGTCCAAATGATTCATTCTCTAGACATCAGAAGAATTATTAAATTATTCAGCTTCTATCTTTTTAAAATTTATGTTTTTCTATACTTCATTGACAGAGATGTTATTGTAATTTTAGAATTACTTTGTCCTAGAATTTAGAGAATAAAAATACTTTTGAAATAAAAATGTGCTTCCTTTATATAAAATAATATTGTAAATAAGATTTGCTTGCCTAGAATATTGTTAATTCAGCTATATTTAAGTTGTATATCAATTATAATGTCAGTATTATAATGCTTGGCTTCCATCATTGACATAGGGGAATATAGTTATTTTCATGCATAACATTAAGCCTCTTGTATTTTTCAGTGTTCTCCTTCAAGTCTAGCAGAGCAACTTTGTACTTCCTCTAATAAGGCGTGTTATTAATTTCAGGTTAAATATTATACATTTTAAACTTAGTTTTACTATTCTTTTTTTTTTTCCTTTTTTCGTGTCCGGCAACGGACCGCAACCCTCAGTGTCGCGCCCGTATCGGACCGGGACCGGCAATGGGATCGCAACCCTCGGTGCTGTGCCCGCCCCTCGCTCAGCCAGTGAGCGGGAACCGGTCTGTATGTGGGATCCGAACCCTCGGCGGGAGCGCCGCCGCGCTCCCAAGCGGCGCACTGTAGCAGTGCGCCACCGGGCCAGCCCCTTACTATTCTTTTAATTATTCTTAAGTTCTTAATTTACTTTTTTCCCTTTAGTCATTAAGATGAAAAAGTAACAAGGGAAAATAAAGTTTTTTTGTATTATATCACTGTCATGAACTGAATTCTCCTGTATAGTCAATAATGTTTAGGAAAATTGAACATTATTCTCTGAATTGCAAGTTTTAAATCACTTAAGTTATCATGTAATTTTCAAGAAGGGCTTATTGGGATTTATTTTCTATAATTTTCACTGTTTAATGGAGCAAATCTGTTCTTTTATAAGTTTGCTCAAATGCTTAAAACAAATGACATGATCATGTCAGACTGTGTTCTACACAGGCAATCCCAACTTGAGTATGATTACATACTGACTCATTGCAGTGATCTAGTAATTAAATGTGTGATATGAAATTGGCATTGAATACAGTTAATTAATGAAAACATGCTATTGATATAGGGGAACATTGTATGTACAAAATATATGAGTTTAATGAAAGAATATGCAATACTGAAAAACTTCAGTAAAACTTCAGTGAAATGATGAGAGTGGATGAATGAGAGTCACAAGCACAACTGGAAAAAGTAAATGAATAAAAATAATACAGAGGGAAAAGAAGTGATTACAGTCAGCCCTCTGTATCCACGAGTTTTGCTATCGTGGATTCAACCAACTGTGGATTTAAAATATTTGAAAAAAAAACCCAATAAAAAATACAACAATAAAAAATAATACAAATAAAAAACAATATACTATAACAACTATTTTCATAGCATTTACATTGTATTAGGTGTTAAAGTAATCTACAAATGATTTAAAGTATATAGGAAGATTTGCATACATTATATGCAAATACTAAATACTAAGCAATTTTATGTAAGGGACTTGAGCATCCTCAGATTTTAGCATTGGGGGCGGGGTTTGGTTCTGAAGACAATCCCTGTGCATACTAACAAACAGGCTAGGCAAGTCAATCAAAATGTGTCTTATTAAGTATAACATTAATTGTATTGGATTAACTGTAACTTCCAGAAAGAAGGCTTCACCCCCTACCCCTGACCCCATATCTTTGGCATAAATCTCAGATAATTTACCAACAAGGAAAAAAATCTTTCTCCACTGAGGTTTAGACAGATGGGATATATGGGGTAAAATCTTCATTTTATTTGCGATGTCATTATGATTGGCTCTCGTAGTGTTGGGTTTTGTTTTTGATACTACATTCTATTACTAGTAAGCTTGGAAAACTGTATTGGAATTTTATTGAAATCATATTAATAGAGTTGTTCCTTTCAATGCTTCCAGAGAGGTCTCTGAAAGACCTGATAGACCCAGGCAAAAAATATGTGTGACTTTTCCCTGTGTTTGTGTGCACACACATGTGTACACACAGATACACTCACAATAAATTCAGTGTAACTTTCATAACAGTGTTGTCTAGGGGATGAGGAATAACAAGTCTCTGAGCTTCCCTTCCCACCCAAAAGAAACTAATAAATCTGTAGAAGTGGAGTGTAATCTCTATTAGATAGCAATATATGTTTCTTCCTATATCCTTTTTTCTTTTAAACAACAAAACAAAACTTTGGGGGATGATGAAATGTTCTGGAATTAGATAGTGGTGTTGGCTGCACAGCTCAGTGAATGTGGAAAACCCCACTGAATTGTACCCTTTGAAAGAATAAATTGCATGATAGGTGAATTATATCTCAATAAAGCTGCTATGCTTAAAAAAAGAAAACAAAACAAAACTTAGATATTTTCTCAGTATGATTTTTTTTTACCCAAACATCTTCCTCATATTCAAATCCTTAAATTAATTTCTTGGAGTGATAGCTGAGCTTTTGTATTTGAAACACATTTCAGACTTAATGAATTCTCCAGGCTCTGCATTCTCCCAGTTCTAAATAAATGCAAATTTGGAAGGGTAAATTGGCTAGGACAAGAAATCAAGCACATGACATCCTTGTGTGTGATGCTTTCCTATTGTGTAGACCATTTTGAGAGACAATGATAAAAACATGTCCTCTTCAAAGGCGTTACATTGAATTTCTTATATTTGTAATTTTTTTCAGAGAAAACAATCAATAAAGCACTTTTGCCATTGGCAAGACTTGGAAATATTTCTATTACAGCCCAAAATTTTAGTACTTACTATTATTAAAGGCACTGTGATAAAATTTTATAAAAGAAATATTTGATTATTTTGACTATCTTCTTTAAGAATTATAAACTATTAGTATCAGTATACACGAGAAGTTAATTTTGTGTGGATTATGTGTTTGTTTTTAAAAGCTATATTCTTTTACCTCTTATAGCTGTAGCTGTTGTTTATATAATTCATTCTTTAAATCCATTTTGGGGAACAAATTAAACATTTAAAAAAATATTATGTTTATCATAAATAGTACTAAAATAAAAAGACTTAATTTACAAAAAATTTCCACATACAGTCACACCATGTATATATTTAAAATATCAAAAAATGTCATAAGTGGAAGAAGTAAAAACCAAAATGTGGACTTTGAGGTCTATTGGGGACTTTTCAAGGTTTCTTTTTTAACTAATAGAAGGGGTTTTGGATAACATGAAATAGAACTTTAACCAGTAAGTTTTGGGCATCTTTAGTGGTACAAAACAATAAAGGCTATGTTCAAAACTGGTTTTCTTTTGCTACAAAGATACCATGCTTTGGTCCTATACAGAGTTCATAATATTAGTCTGTAAAATCTCATATGTGAATATTTCCCTTTCATTTATTATTAGTTCTGATTTTCCCAATGTATAAATTACTTTCTCATGAGGCATTGTGCATATTGTATTTTGAGAATCTTAAGAGTTAGTGTGCAGTAGCGTACCTTACCCAAAAAGTACTCTTACCATCTGGGCAGTTTAGTTCATGTGGGTTATTAAAAACAACAACAAGAAAATTTTTACTTGTAACCAGAAAATGTGTGATTCCATTTACCATCAATTAAAAACATTCCAAGGAAATATAGTCAGTTCTTAATTATCTCTGCTCTTTGAAATTAATTTTTGGCCTTCTGAAATAACAGATAATTTGCTTTTTTTGTCTTGCTCATGCCTTATAATCTCCACTCTTTTTGCCATGTGTTTGTTATTGCATGCTGGTGGTTTTCAGCAAATGCTATTTCTATCAAGGCTTTATCTGCCCATTGCTTTTCAAGAGCAGGACCAGACATGTAGCAGAGGTAATGGTTGAGGATGTCAGATGAATGAAGATAAAGGCAGTACAGCAAGGCAGCATCAAAGACCTCAGATGCTCCTGGAACAATGACATGGACAGCTCAGAGCCACAGTACGGCACAGCAGCAAGGCAGCATCAAAGACCTCAGATGCTCCTGGAACAATGACATGGACAGCTCAGAGCCTATGAGATTGAGAGTTAATTCCGTAAAAAGAAATAACTCAATTTTTAACCTAAATAAAGATGACATTGTTTTCTGATAAATTTCTCTTATGTCTCATTTTTCATAATTTTTCTGGTTGATAAATATTAATATATAGATTTATTTTATGATATGGTGAAAAAGACTGTAAATGCTAGTTGTAAATACTAATATCGTGTGTACCTATGTGTGATAGATAGGAAGAAAAAGTATTGAAGGATAAATGTATGTGTGCTAAACTTCAGCACCAGTGCTCCAAAAGGTATTTCGTTTAAAAGTAATGATAATTTCAGAGTCATCATATAACTTTTAATTGGTTAATTAAAGGGAGGAACATTTGTAAGAAGCATTTATAATTGCTGTGAATTTTACCAGAAAAAAATCAGTGTTTTTCTCTAATTTAGTTTTTCTGTGTAATATTTGCTCCAGCTCTCTGATATGATCTCTATAACTGAGAAGCCCCTGGCAGAACAGGACTGGTACCATGGTGCTATTCCCAGAATAGAGGCACAAGAGCTGTTAAAACAACAAGGAGACTTCTTGGTTCGAGAGAGTCATGGGAAACCTGGTGAATATGTCCTTTCTGTATATTCTGATGGACAAAGGAGACACTTTATCATTCAATTTGTTGATGTACGTTTTCAGTTTAGTTTGTATGTATATTTTGATGTAGTTTATTGTGGTATAATTGTATTTAAATGGTGAATGGTTTATAATAAATGCCTGTAACACTTAAAGTTTAGCACTTTTTTTTCTGAATTTCTTAAATGTAGAGCTCTAAAAATTCACTAACATGTTAAATTTTTTAAGGAAATATGTACGTAGAAATATTTTAAATTAAAAATAGTTTTTACAAATATAAATTAAATTTAAGTATGTAACTATTTAAAATATGTTAAGTTAAACTTGAACATTAAAGATATTTTAAATGAAACATAATGTGATTATAATAATTTAAAAAAAAATTTTTCCCAGGGAAACTTAAAGTTATAAAATTTATACTTTTGAAATTGACCCTTGAAATTGCTTTCAAAATGGTGCCATGAGAAACTTTTAAGAAATATTTTACTGAATAGTGATAATGAAATTTCTTAATGAATGACACAATGATAGTTGAATTTGTTTTATGATTGACTAAGGACTAAAGGTTTTTCCTCTTTATATATAAGCTGTCGTTTGCTGGTATTAATAAACAATAATTAGAAGGTGATGAACAATTTAAAAAATAATCTATTAATACTGCTATTATAATGCTAATTTATTTTTTGAAATTTATACAGGTATTGCTAAACTGCTTTATATATTACATTTTCTTTATTGAGCATTAAACAGGTAAACAGTAGTTTCAAAATGTTCACTTTACCCACTGAGAATTTTTTAATATTTTGGCGTATGAAGGAATTGATGCCTCTGTTTGTCATTTTTCACTCCATCATTTCAAATGGCATGTGTTTTCAAGGTGGCTGTCCACAGGATTTAAGTTTATATCCAGAGTGATACTGGTTGCTTTACAGAAGGGTTAAGCCATTATTATTGTTAGATGAACCTCAGAGGGTTTTAGGTAACTTAGGTAACTTTATATATATATATATATATATATATATGTATATATGTATGTATATATATTTGTATATATGTATAACAATGTAATATACATTTTATATATAATATATATTATATATGTCAATGTACATATTGATGTATGTATTTTTGAGGCAAAATTCACATACCATCAAATTAGCCATTTAAAAATGTACATTAGTACACTTCAGTGTAATGTATATTAGTAATGTACATTAGAACATTAGCACACATCAGTGGCATTTAGTAAATTTACTTCTAGTAACTATAGTTTAATTAAAATAGATGCCATTCAGATGGTTGAAAGGAGTAAGCCTACTAAAGTACTGTGTATATTATAATTTTCAAACTGTTTAACTTTGCATAGTATTCAGACCTCAACTTGATAATCATGTTTGCCCATTTTCATACATCCAACTTACTGTTAGAAACTATACTGTTTCTAATAGTATTGTCGTTCTTTATTTCCTTGGCAAGCTCTTTTGTAATTTGTATGTGCCTTTAAGTTATGGATGTGGGTAAACTACACTATTACAATTTGTGACCACGTTGGCAATATTTATAAAATGGTATGAAAATTATAAAAGGAAAGATTGTAGGTAAAATATAAACTAATTAATTACAACTTATTTGAATATTTCCTTCCATTTTCTTTTTTTCCCTTTAAATTTTTATTTTGTCGATATACAATGTGGTTGATTATTATGGCCCATCACCGAAACCTCCCTCCCTCCACCCTCTCCCCCCTCCCACCCAACAATGTCCTTTCCGTTTGCTTGTTGTAAAAACTTCAAAGGATTGTAGTTGTTATATCTTCCCCTCCCACCCCCCCGGTTATTTTGTGTGTGTGTGAGTGAATTTATTTATTTATTTTTAGCTCCCACCAATAAGTGAGAACATGTGATATTTCTTTTTCTCTGCCTGACTTGTTTCACTTAATATTATTCTCTCAAGGTCCACCCATGTCGTTGCAAATGGCAGTATTTCATTCGTTTTCATATATTATTTTTTGACAGTTTTTTTATTGAAAGATAATTTTTTATATATATTTGTGGGGTACAGAATTTAATATCAATACATGTGTACAATATGTGGTGATTAAATCAGGATAATTAGTAAACTCATGTTAACAAAATGTCATCAATCTTTGTAACCCTTAACTAATTTCTCACTAACCCTCTTCCCCTCTCCCTTTCCCACCTCTAATAACCACAGTTCTGTTCTCTCTCTCTCTTTTTTAAAAAAATTTCAATGCATTATTGTGGGGTTTTTTTTCTCTCTTTCCTTCTTTCTTTCTTTTAGCTCCCACTTATGAGTGAGGACATGTGTATTTCTCTTTTTGTGCCTGGCTTATTTCGCTTAACATAACTTTCTCTAAGTTCTTCCATGTTGCTGTGAATGGCAGAATTTCTTTTCTTTTTTTTTTTTTTTTGAGACCGGCCGCACCACGCTTAGCCAGTGAGTGCTGTGAGCGCACCAGTCATCCCCATATAGGATCCAAACCCGCGGCAGGAGCGCTGCTGTGCTCCCAGCGCCACACTCTCCCGAGTGCGCCACGGGCTCGGCCCAGAATTTCATTTTTTTTATGGCAGAGCAATATCCCATTGAGTAAATATACCACATTTTCCTTATCCAGTTGTCTGTTGATGGACATCAAATGACTTGTTGGCCATTTGTATATATTCTTTAGAGAAATGTCAATTTAGCTCTTTTGCCCATTTTTTAATAGGGTTGCTTGTTTTTTTCTTGTAAAGTTGTTTGAGTTCCTTGTATATTCTGGACATTAATCCTTTGTCGGATGTATCTTTTACAAATATTTTCTACCACTCTGTTGGTTGTCTTTTAGCTCTGTTAATTGTTTCTTTTGCTGTGCAGAAGCTTTTTAGTTTGATATAATCCCATTTGTTTATTTTTCCTTTAGTTGCCCATGCTATTGGGGTTGTATTCATGAAGTCTGTGTCCAGTTCTATTTCCTGAAGTGTTTCTCCTATGTTTTCTTTAATAAGTTTTATTGATTCAGGGTACATATTTAAATCCTTAGTCCATTTTGAGTTAATATTAGTATATGGTGAGAGGTATGGGGCTAGTTTCATTCTCCTGCATATGGATATCCAGTTCTCCCAGCACCACTTGCTGAAGAGGCAGTCCCTACCCCAGTGAATAGGCTTGGTGCCTTTGTCAAAGATCAGATGGCAGTAAGTGTGTGGGTTGATTTCTGGATTCTCTATTCTATTCCATTGATCAGTGTGTCTGTTTTTATGCCAGTACCATACTGTTTTGGTTATTATAGCTTTGTAGTATAGTTTAAAGTCAGGTAGTGTTATGCCTCCAGCTTTATTTTTTTTGCTCAGCATCGTTTTGACTATGCGTGGTCTTTTATTATTGCATATAAATGTCTGGAGAGTTCTTTCCATTTCTGAGAAAAATGTCATTGGAATTTTGATGGGGATTGCATTGAATTTGTATATAACTTTGGGTAGTATGGCCATTTTCACTATGTTGATTCTTCCAATCCAAGAGCATGGGATATCTTTCCATCTTCTTGTATCCTCTCTAATTTCTCTCAGTAGTGGTTTGTAGTTCTCCTTATAGAGATTTTTCACATTCTTGGTTAGCTTAATTCCTAAGTATTTTATTTTTTTGGTGGCTATTGTAAATGGGCCGGCTTTCTTGACTTCTCTTTCCGCATGTTCACTATCAGAGAAAAGAAATGCTACTGATTTTTGTGTGTTGATTTTGTATCCTGCTACTGCACTGAAATCATTTATCAACTGCAAGAGTTTTTTTGTAGAGGCTTTAGGCTGTTCGATATATAGGATCATGTCATCTGCAAACAGGGATAGCTTGACTTCTTTTCCAATCTCGATGCCCTTTATTTCCTTCTCTTCCCTGACTGCTCTGGCTAGTACTTCCAATACTATGTTGAATAGGAGTGGTGAGAGTGGGCATCCTTGTCTAGTTCCTGTTCTTAAAGGAAAAGCTTTCAGCTTTTACCCATTCAGGATGATGTTGGCAGTGGTTTTGTCATATATGGCTTTAATCATGTTGAGATACTTTCCATCTATACCTAACATATAGAGGGTCTTTGTCATGAATGGGTGCTGAATTTTATTGCTTCCTGGATCTGAAGATCTGTGAGTTTTCCTATGCCTGGGAAGTTTTCTGCCCCTATTTTGTTGAATATATTTTCAATACATTCTCCTTTTTCCTCCCCTTCTGGAATACCCATGACTTGGATATTTGAGCGCTTAAGGTTGTCTGATGTCTCTCTCAGATTTTCTTCAATATCTTTGATTCTTTTTTCTTGTCTGCTTGTGTTATTTCAATCAGTCCATCTACAAGTTCAGAGGTGCTCCCTTCAACTTCCGCTATCCTGCTGGTTAAACTCTCCATTGTGGTTTTTATTTCGCTGAATAACTTCTTCAGTTCAGCAAGTTCTGCTACATTTTTTTTCAGGTCATTGATTTCCTTGTACATTTCCTCTTTCATGTCCTGTATACTTTTTCTCGTTTCATCATGCTGTCTAGCTGAGTTTTCTTGTATCTCAATCAGTTTCTTTAGAATTATCACTCGAAATTCCTTGTCATTCATTTCAAGGGCTTCCTGTTCTATAGGATCTAGAGTTTGAGATTTATTAACTTTTGGTGGTGTACTTTCTTGGTTTTTTGGTATTTCTGGTATCTTTTTTTGATGTTTATTCATATTAGCAGGGGGTTTCACAGTGCACAGGTTTGACACTATTGACTAACTAAGGTGTGGCTGTGTTTGTCAATTTGGTATGGCTACCTCTGTGACTGCTCAGTTGGCCCCTAGGGTCTTGTGTGTGTGGTTGCCTCAGGTTTAGGCCTCTCCGGAGAGCCACCTCTCTGGTCAGCTTGGACTCTGCTAGGCTGCTTGATCACGCATTGGCGGCCCCACACACAGGGTGTGTGTTTTCTGCCGAGTCTCCGCTTCCATAGCCGGACGTCTGCTCGCTCTGTGCGCACTAGGCGGGGTTGTTGGACCTCGCAGAGGCGGCCCGCTGGGTGTGTGTTTTCTGCCGAGTCTCCGCC